CTCCGGGCATGGTGGCTCACACCTGTAATCCCAGCACTTTCGGAGGTTGAGGCAGGCAGATCACCTAAATTCGGGAGTTTGACACCAGCCTGACCAACATGGAGAAACCCTGTCTCTAAAAAAAAAAAAAAAAAAAAAAAAAGTAGAGATGTAAGAGTTAATGAAGGAATGTCAACTAAAAAGTGAAAGACTGGACAGCAGCTTCCTGTAGCAGGTGACCAGTGACAATCTGGGGCCACTGGTGTGGGGATAAGAAGAATTTATGAAGATACTTGTAGGTAAAGAAAGTCATATTCATTACAGCATTTATGAAAATATGTTGCAACAGACAGGCCAGCAAGGGAGCAGCTGACTGCAGGGAGATGAAGGCTTGCTGGGGATGTTACAGAATGGTGCTTGTGCTGTGTGATGAAGAGGGCTTTGTGCACTACTGGTAACACCATGGTTGCCGTGAATTAGCTTGCATTTTTTTTTTTTTTTTTTTTATCACCCAAGGGTCTGGTGATAGCTGGATGCAGGAAGATTGTTAGTAATTTGCGCAAGAGGGGCTACATGTTCTAGATCATGAAGAAAGGCAGACTTAAAGCTTATCTGCTTTCTTTTTTTGCGTTCCCTCGGTCCCACCGTCCTGACTCCTTTTTGCTAATTAGAACTCCACACTCCCTTTAGATGGTGTATGTATTTTCCATTTTCCCAGTTTTAATTACTTTCCATGGGATCTTATACTTCTGAATTCACTCTATTCATTTTGTTACCTAACTGGTTCCTATTGGCATCTCTCCTTTATCCTAGAGCAGCAAGTATCCCTTCCTGACCCTCTTTGTAGATGCAGGCCCTATCACAGTTCTCAAACCTTCCCAGAGATTATATATAAACCATGCATAATTTTGGAGAAAAGTAAATCTTTTTACTGTCTCTCTTAGGGATAGTGAGTGGTTGATTAAAAATGGAAAGGATAGATTTAAATGTTTATGTACAGTTGAAATGTCAAACATTTTGTTGGCATTTAGAGATATTATCTGAAAGGGCATTTTACAAATAAGGAAGCTAAGGCTCAGAGACTTCTGGTAATCTGTTCAAGGTCACATCGTTATCCAAGCCTCTTGCTCCAGAGGACATATTTTTGTGCTTTCGAAAAAAGAAAGAAAAATCAAGATGTCATACAGATTCTTAATAAAAATTAATGTCACAGAAAAATGTTTTCTCTAGGCCTCACAAAGATTAAAGAGGCTTGTGGGTTTTCTTTCTTTTTGGATTTGGCTAGATGTCTTTCTTGTTTTACTGGCGAATTAGAAGAAAGCTGGAGAAGCTCTGGGACGGCTGCAACAGCATATTTCATTTTTTAATAGTTAAGAAAAGTTGTCTCCCAACCTCGAAGTAATAATTAAACACAGATACATTGTTTTTGATTTGCGTTTTGGCCTTATCTACACCTAAAGCTTCAGCACCAAGGGAGGAAGGTTTAAATATTTATGTTACAATAAAACTTAATATAAAACATATAAAATCTTAAATTATCATTTTTACTGCTGTACCAGATTAGAGTATGCAATCACTAAAACAGAGTGATTTAGGATTAAGTATGAAATATTCATTGTTCACCTTTGCATTAAGCCAAAAATGTGTGTTGTGGCTTTATGTCTCATTACCTTATTGTACTTTGGAATGTGAGGGTGAAGCTGTCCCTCGGACCATTTAGAATAAAGAAGACTGAGGCAATATCTCACTATAGGCATTGCAATGTCTATAGCTAAACCTAAGAATGGCATACCTGACTCATTTTATTTATTTATTTATTTATTTTTCAGACAGAGTCATGCTCCGTTGCCCAGGCTGCAGTGCAGTGGCATGATCTCTGCTCAACACAACCTAACCTCCGCCTCTCGGGTTCAAGCAATTCTCCTGCCTCAGCCTCCAGAGTTGCTGGGACTATAGGCATGTGTCACCACGCCCTGCTAATTCTTGTATTTTTAGTAGAGATGGGATTTTACCACATTGGCAAGGCTGGTCTTGAATGCCTGACCTCAACTGATCCATCTGCCTCAGCCTCCCAAAGTGCTGGGATTACAGGCACGAGCCACCGTGCCTGGCCTTGGCTCATTTTTATTCCTCTGATTTTAGACTTCCAACTGGGTTTTTATAATCACTCATAAAAGTCCCAACTGGCACAGATGAGGCATGAGTATTAGGCAGAGGCCATATCCTGGTAGAGTGTGTGCCAGGTCCATACTGATGTGGCTTTTAAATGTGCTACATTATGTTTGTTTGAAGAAACTGTTTCTCCGAATTTTGTAGACAACATTTTGCAACTTGGAGAATTCACACAAACATGTACATTTCCTGATTCTTTTGAACAATCTGACCATTTGTCCACATGGGGCACACAATCCTGTTGAATAGACGCTGCAACCCTTAATGTGGCACATGGTTCACCTTTTGCAATGTGTATAGGGTTGCCTCAGTCAAATATGGTTCCAGACATATTGTATTTTTGAAAAAAGAAAGAAAAACCAGGATGTCATATAGAATGTTAAAAATAAATTAATGCCACAGAAAAATGTTTTCCCTAGGCCTCTAGATGTTTAAGATGTTTGTGATCCTCCAGACTGTACACTGTCTTTTCCAAAAGCTAAGTCTTTAAAGTGGTTCGTTGCCTTGTCATGCAGAAAATACACTTCTTCTACTTGTTTTGTCAGGTTCAAAGCCACTTTGGATAATGTCTCTGTTGAGCTGCTTTTAGAAGTTTTGACACTCATTTGACCAGTCTCAGTGGAGCAAATCTTTGTCCTTGAATCTGATTTTTGGAAAGAGTCAAAGGAAAATTTGAACCAAGTTTGGAGCAGAAAAATATGTGTGACTATGAAATAGTGAAAACCTGTTTCTCTTGGGTGGTTTGTGAGCTGGCTTAAAGGCAATTTTTTAAAAAAAGTTCAATAATTCTTTGAGGGAAGCCTTTTTACTTCTTCCAGATGTCAACTGCCCTTTCTACTAAGCTCTCATAATACTGAAGCAGCCTTATTGTCTGGGGTACACCCAAGGTTCTTGGTCTCACGATCACAGATATCGAACATGTGGATACATACAAAGGGTGAGGTTTGGAGCAGAATTTTTAATAGGCAAAAGAAAGAGAATAGCTTTCTGCTACTGAGAGGGGTCCCAGAAAAAGGGGTTGCTGATCCATGGTGAAATATAGGGGTTTTTATAGATGAGCAGTGGGGAGGCGGTGTCTGATCTACATCAGGAGCAAAAAACCGATTAGGACCAGGTGTGCCATCTGCACGTGGCACAAAAAACCCATTAGGATCAGGGGTGTCATCTACATAGGGCTCAAATCTCTGGCAGCCCCTACCCCAATCTTCTACTATATAGGCAGGCAGCTACTCCATGTTGCCTATTTCTGTCTTACTGTGCATGTTCTAAAAAAGAGAGGAGGTGGAACCCCCATGGTGGACAGGCCTGGCCCCAGGTAGCCCCTTCTATCTGTGCCGCATCCCCGTGCAAGCTTCCAGCTTCCTTACCTATGTGTGCAGCCCAATCTTCCAGGCTGGCCTTTGTTAGAAAGGAAGTGATTTCCTGGGATGCTTTTCGTTAGAAGGGAAGTTCTGCCGGGGACTCTTTTGTCCTATCTGCCTAAATAATGTCTTTCTGTCTCCTGTACGAATATCCTATGTGTGACTTTATTGTGCATATATGCCTTAGGTTTTAATCGTTTTTCATTTACAAGCTGATCCTCCCCTCCCCTCCCCCCTGCTTTTACCACACTTGAGGAAAGATACATTTTAATTCATATTTTATATGGTATGTATAGTTGGAGGCCAAAAGATTGAGTTGAAGGATTCATTACTTAATGAATGAATGGATAGGTGGATGGATGAGTCAGTATAAATGAAGAGCATCCCAAGTTGACTATTTTAAAGGAGATAACATGCATATTTGTTCAACATTCATTCTCATTTGTAAATATTTGTATATATTCATGGAGTCGAAATGTATTGAAAACTAATTGTTTTCCTTGGTCCCTGAAGTCAGTCCCGGGTAGCGCAAAGTAGTTCAAAGTCACTGGTTTCCCTCTGTCTCACTTCACTACACACTGGTGATTTTGCTAACTGATGAGCCAACAAATGTAAAAGTTCCAGAATCAAAGGTAAAACAAAACGCCTCAAGAATCATAGCTTGTTAATGTCCTAGTTCAAAAATAAGGCATATCAGAGTATTTCAGATTGTATGTACACTTTTGATATTGCCGAGTATCAGTGTCAACCTCAGAAAAGGGCAACACCAACTCTTGAAACTTTCAATAAAGCCTAGAAGAATTAAATATACATAAAAACAATAGCGACAAGACTCCAGAAACCACATAAAACCGTGGAAAACGAACTATTTCTATGTGTGTATAGTATACGGAAACCTACGTGTTTAAACGTGGACGATTTCTCTCTCAGCGTAGCTTAGGTAGTGGGGGTCAGGGCTCGGAGCCGAAGAAGCGGAAAGTCGCCTTCCTCCACGGTTTACTTGTGTTTCCATCCAGAGACTCACAGGTTGGCCCCAAGACTCCACTCTCCCGCCTTTGAGAAGCCGGAGCGGCATCGGCGGCTGCATCCTTCTCCTCCTCCCCGCTCTATTTTGGGGCCCCATGATCTCATGCCCTCTGCAGACCACACGCTGCAATTTCAGTCCGGGCCGCGCCGCGAGGCCACGCAGGGCGATTCCTGCAAGTGTCGGGAGGGTGGCCGCGACGCGGGGAGGGGACGGCTCGCGGGGGAGAAGTTCAAGACACGCCCACGTAAGGGACCCAAAATAACCGACACGCAGAGTGCCCGAAATCAGACAGGAAGCCCAGTAATCCGGGGCGTTGAGTCGCTGTTCCCTGACAGCGAGCGCCTGGCGTAGGGCGGGGAGCCAAGGGTCCGACCGCGAGGGGCGGGCGCGGCGGGGCGGGGAGGGGCGGGGCGCGAGGCGCGGGCCTATTAAAGGCGCGGCCGGGCGGCGGGGTCGGAGCGCCCGGGGCCACCATGGAGCGCGACGGCTGCGCGGGGGGCGGGAGCCGCGGCGGCGAGGGCGGGCGCGCTCCCTGGGAGGGCCCCGCGGGGAACGGCCGCGATCCGGGCCGCAGCCACGCTGCCGAGGCGCCCGGGGACCCGCAGGCGGCCGCGTCCTTGCTGGCACCCATGGACGTGGGGGAGGAGCCGCTGGAGAAGGTGGCGCGCGCCCGCACGGCCAAGGACCCCAACACCTATAAAGTGCTCTCGCTGGTAGGTGCGCGGCCAGGCCCGGGCGCCCGGGAGGTCTGGGAGGACGGAGAGGGCGGCGCCGAGCTCCCGCGCCCGCCGCGCGGTCAGCCCGGGGCCCCGGAGGGAGGCGTGGTCCGGGAGCGCCTCTTCGCCCGCGCGCTCCTCCGCAGCTTTTGCAAGTGCTCTACGTCTCCGCCCCTGCCCGGTACCCTGGTAGGGCGGGATGGTTCACTCTCACTTGAATAGCGGATGCCTGTGAAAGCTCGCTGTTCAAAATGGTCATCCTTAGAAATACTCGCCCCCCCGACCCAGAAGAGTACGAGTTTTTAGAGGAGAAAAATTACAAACGCGAAAAATTGTTGGTCTTAAGAAGGTGCATCGATGTGTTGCTTCTTTTGGGGGGCTCTGAGTGCAGTATGCGTGACTTTACTTGGGTTAACTGGTTCCAGTTGAAGAGTTATCAGAGCTCTTTAAGTTTTATTAGGAACTTTAGGGAACACTTTTTCCCTTTGGCTCCGTTTTGGAATTTCCTTGCAGCTGCTCAGAAATTCCGTGGATATTCACGTTATGTGACTGAAGAAACCTTTATGATTCTTTGCCCTGTCTTCTAACCATAGGCCACACGGTTTGTGTTGCTAACAAAAGCTACCTATTACTCCTCTGCTATTTTGCTATGACAGTTGCAGGACCCACAGTCAACTTGATGAAATGTGGGGATTCGTTTTTACCGTGAATTCATGGTGGAAAGTGTTGATTGAGAGAAGGCCTGAATTCCTGGCTGTTATTGATTGCTGAGACCTTGCATTAACTCCCCCTGTTAAAACGCGCGCTTTGAATGAAGAGACCCCCCCAAACGGGCTTTGTGTAAGCAACATGGATGTTTATTCACCTGGCTGCAGGTGGGCTATGTCGAAAAGGGCTTTAGCGAAGGTCTGTGGGATAGGAGTTGGTTTCATAGGTTGGGGCAAATTTTTGGGGTAGGGGGCAGGGGTGTTATGGAGTAAGATTAGTTGCAGTGATGGGGGTAGGGGCAAGGAGTGTCATCATAAGTTCAGTTACAATGGCGAGTGGAGTAAGGCGTAAGAGTAGTTAAGATGGCAGGGTGGGGTGAGGAGTATTCACATTATCATAATACCAGTTAAAATGGCAGGGTGGGTTGATGTTGGGTTGGGGGGAAGCTTCACTGGGTGATCAGGGAGAATGGAGAATGCTGGCAGGGGGTGGGGGTGATTAGCCGAGCCAGGCAAGGCTTTAGACTTTCTGGGTCCGGGCTTGCACCTGGAGGTCTAACACTCGCCAAACCTAATTTTTTTCTGTGTTAAAATGGAAACATCGACTCCCTTGTGCATTGCATGGGATTATTGTGAGAATCAAGCTGAAAAATGTGTGTGAGGAAGTAAATTGGAAACCCCAGGAAATGGAATCATTTTTATCGTATTAAGTGGAGATCACAGATTTCTATGTATAGTGTACCCTAAAATATGAGTGAACTTACATATGAGTGAACAATACTTCGTAGAAAAACTTCTAATTTTTAAAGTCTCCTTTCATTTTGTATGCATTTCCATTTTCACTATATTTGGGATATCATGGAGATGCTACAATACTTTGAGGAATCAATCTTCCTAGACTTAAGAGATGATGTCATATACTTTGTATTTACAAAGAAGCCTAAGGTTCAAAGAATAAGTATCCCGAGCCACATGATGTTTGCATCTCAAGATAAAATTTTGCACCTTGTATTGTATCACTGTTTGAGTCTGTAATAACACGATATTGATAAGGACTTAGTCTCTTGAGTCACCTTTTTAAAATTTTGTTAATGGAAGACCTTAGCTTTTACAAGCTGATCACTTAAATTGTTTAGTATCCATACCTTCAGATGTTTCACTCATGATGAGGTAGTCAGTCAATAAGTGTACATGGAGTCTGTGTGTAACTCCAGTGCAAAACCATTTCTACATGCCTACAAATCTTTAAAGGTTTTTAAATGCAAAATTCAGTTTTTAAATTGTTCTTGCTCATTTACTTATACATCCACAACAGATATCAGCAAAGGTCAACTTTTGGAACAAGCTTTCTAGTCTTTGAGAACTGCAGTCAACTGGTCAAACAGCGTTCCATTATGGTCTGATGATGCAACTCTGGGCATTTGACATGGAAGTGTCCTAGGACTGATTTCCACAAGTAGGACTACCGTGGACCTTTTTTATTCCATTGATTGGGGCCTTTTGCATCTATTGAATTGGAAAGAATTCTTACTTTATATCTTTTGATGGAACACTGTGAGATATTAACATAAAATGTCACCAATAGACCTGGTGCAGTGACTCATACCTATTATCTCGGCACTTGGGGAGGCTGAGGCAGTTCAATTGCTTGAGTCCAGGAGTTTGAGACTAGCCTGGGCAACATGACGAAACCCCATCTCTACAAAAGATACAAAAATTAGCTGGGTATGGTGGCATGTGTCTGTATTCCCAGCTACTTGGGAGGCTGACATGGGAGATTCACCTGAGCCAGGGAAAGTTAAGGCTGCAGTGAGCTGTGATTGTGCTACCGCTCTCCAGGTTGGGTGACACAGTGAGACCCTTTATTGTTGAAATTGCTATTTAGTGATTGAACTGAAGTTGCAAACTCTTATTCTTTCTCTTCCCTACTTCAGTGCTTTCTTCCCCAACCCTCATACCCCCCAGAATTTTCCCACATAATGGGCTCCAAAGGGAAAAGGCCCAAAAGGAACCTGACAATTATCATCAAAGAGCTCTGGGACATGTCTTCTAGAGAGGAGCTACAATTATAGAATTCCTTTTTTTCAGATTAAACCTCAGCACACTTTTTATAAAGCTGCAGAAATGAATTGGACTAATTGGACCCTGGGGTTGGGATTAGGACAGGCCCACCACAGTGGTCCTCAGCTACACTGTTTTAATTTAGCAGGATAAATAGAACAGTTGCCTTGCCTTGTGGAGGCAGTCATGCTGAAGTGGCAATGTAATTACATTATTCTGCAGTTTTCTCAGATAAACTAAAATGTAGAGGCGTGAGAGTGGGTGAAGAAATAAGGATTTTGTCCTAACATGGCTTCTCCCCAGTGTGGTGTTTGATCCTAGGAGAGGGTCACCAAGCTCTGCTTTAGAGGCTTTTGGCCCTGGGCCCTGGAAATGCTTATGCCTAGGCATTGAGCCAAACTGAGGAAAACAGCAAGAGGGAAAAGCAAGTATTGTTCCCTACATGGATCAGTAGGTATGTTAAATATTAGGTGCCTTTCCTTTGCTGTAAATGAAGTTTTGAACTGAAATGTAGACTTCTGCTGAGATGTTGCATTGACTTGGAGATGTGTTTAAATATCCCTCTTGTTACTTGGCATGATTTTGGAGGATCATGTAATTCTTAACGACATTGCAATACATTCTCCAGTTAGCTCCTCAAAAGCATTATTTTGTGTGTGTGTTTGTGACCTGCTGTACTTATGAATACGTATATCTGTGTATCTGTGTATGTGTAAAGGGCTTTGTGTGTGGGTGGTGGTCACTGAAGACTACTTTCCTGTTTCAGTGAAAGAGTTCTTTTTTTTTTTTTTTTTTTTTTTTTTTAAATATAAGTAGAGAGTCTGTTTGGCCCAAGTTCGAAGACTGCAACCCATGAGCACAGATTCAAGTTGCCCTGAGTATATGCTCCTATTAGTAGCAATTACAAATGGGTTTTTAAAGGAAAAAAGAAGAGGCAGTTCCTAAGTTTTTTATCAAGCATTTATGTTACAATAGTAAGCTATTAGTTGGCTATACATTGCTCTTTGTAGCACAGATTCCAGAAACATGAAGATAGTGGGTGAGGCAGCTGTCAGGAACAAAATACTTTAAAAGATTTGCCCCTAGGAATGGGTGCAGAGATGTGACTGATGTCCCATGCTCCTGTCTCTCAGGGCCTGATAAATTTTGCATAGTTCGCATTTCTCAGACTGCTCTGAGCAATTTTTCTTTCTCATTTCCTCCTTTTGATAAAATCTTTCTCTTCTGAAAATACTGAGGATCAACATTTTGGATGTAAGTTTGTCCCACGTTGCTGGGAAGGCTCATTCCGGATAATCTTGTCCCATGTCAGAGGGAATGAGCAGAAGTACTAAAACTTAAGAACTTAGTGAGATTTCAGGGCCGAATGGGTTGGCAACAATTCAGGGTTTGGATTCAACAAGAAAGGGACAGAGGAGTGGGATCTCAGGCCATTCACTTACGCTGGAGTTGTCATGTTGGATCAGTTCGAAACATCTAGCTATTTTGATTCGTTTTTTGTTATAGAATTTTGTAGTAGACTTTAGATATCTAGAAATACATAGCATAATCAATTTAAGAATAAAAAATATGACACAAATAAGGATAATTATCAACAAAACAACTTGAAACACAAATATGAAAAGTGTTCCTATCCCTGAAGGTAATCAAATGAATATTTTAATCCACTTGTTGTCCTGGTCTAAAGAACCAAGTGTTGGCCGGGCACGGTGGCTCACGCCTGTAATCCCAGCACTTTGGGAGGCCGAGGCGGGTGGATCACGAGGTCAAGAGATCGAGACCATCCTGGTCAACACGGTGAAACCCCGTCTCTACTAAAAATACAAAAAATTAGCCGGGCATGGTGGCACGTGCCTGTAATACCAGCTACTCAGGAGGCTGAGGCAGGAGAATTGCCTGAACCCAGGACGCGGAGGTTGCGGTGAGCTGAGATCGTGCCATTGCACTCCAGCCTGGGTAACAAGAGCGAAACTCCGTCCCCCCCCCCCCCCCCAAAAATAAATAAATAAATAAATAAAAATAAAAATAGAACCAAGTGCTGAAGATCTCCACTGAGGAAGATGTCCACTCAGGCAGGGCAGCCTGATACCGTCTTATCTAACGTGATTGGAAAGAGTCCTTTATTTCATGGCATTTTCCATTAAACACAATCTACAGGTTAGAGGCCATGATCTTTGATGTTTTTGTCTCCTGAGAGTTTGCTGTTAAAAGAATCCTTAATTAATTTAG